CCTCTTTGGGGATGCCTTATAAAATCATTCATATATAAGTGGCTAAACCAAAAAAACAAACTACAACGGATATTACAGGTAAAGCCTAAACCCTAAACCCTAAACCCCTAAACCCTGAACCCTAAACCCTAAGCCCTAAACCCTAAACCCTCAACCCCTAAACCCTAAACTTGGTCGCCAAACTTTCCGAAGGCCACGGAAGAGCAGGGCGGTGCGAGGGAGGGAGAGCTTGAAGCTCCAGGGTTTGTTAGGGTTTAGGATTTAGGGTTCGGGTTTAGGATTTAGGGCTTAGGATCTAGGGTTTAGGGTGTAGGATCTAGGGTTTTAGGGTTTAGGATTTAGGGTTTTAGGGTTTAGGATTTAGGGTTTTGAGGTTTAGGATTTAGGGTTTTAGGGTTTAGGATTTAGGGTTGTATAGGGTTTAGGATTTAGGGTTTGGGGTTTAGGATTTTCATAGGGTTTAGGATTTCGAAATTGGGGTTGAGGGTTTAGGATTTTTATAGGGTTTTGGATTTAAGAATTAGGGTTGAGGGTTTAGGATTTAGGGTTTAGGATTTAGAGTTTAGGATTTAGCGTTTAGGATTTAGAGTTTAGGGTCTGGGATTTAGGGGCTGGATCAGGACACCATGGAACATTTTGCCGTGATTACAACATGGCTCGGGCTCGGGCTCTAATATAGAAGCGTTACTCATCAGAATAGGGTTTGCGGATCTTTTTCTACTTTCATTGTAGGAAACTCTAGGAATGGTAGTAGTACCAACTATATTCAGGCCCCTATATTACTCTCTAAGCTCGAGCCCTAAACCTGAAGCCTCACACGTCCGCGAACCAGTGCCCCAATCTGAAAGTACTGAAGCAAAAACCACGGGGCCATTTAGGGTTTATGAATTTAGAGTTAATCCGAAGTTAATCCTATAAAAAAATTCAACCAAAAAAAGGGGCCGTAAGCGCTAATGCAACCCTACCACGCCAAACTATTAAGGACCGGGCCGTTAGACGTCGATTTCTCCAAAGGTCCGATGCCGGGATCTTGCACTGGCCACGAACCGCCTTTTTGGGGGTCTGCTTTTTGGCGTTGAGGGTTTAAGGGCTCGCACCCGTATGCATGCATGCATGCATGCATGCATGTATGTATATTTGTGTATGTATGTGTATGTAGGTATGCACATATGTATATTTGTATACAATACATAACGGCATGTCCGACAAAAGCTTTAACCCATTGCGCCTGTCTCTGGTCTCACTGCTGATACTGCACCCGATTTCTCATCCCAGCAAGCTAGCACAGACCCACCAAAAAGCCAACCAACCACCCTAAACCCTTCAAGGAACCGTTTCAGCAATCCTCAAACTAAATTCTTCAAACACCCGCAAAGTAATCGTCTAAGCTATCCTTATCCAAAGTCGCCCTTACAGTGACCCAAAGCCTCTATCAGCTGCCCCAGGAAGCGGAGCAACAATGGCTTCCCAGCCTAAGCCAGTGAGCGCACGGCGGAATCCCAATAGGTTGAGGATGTTTCAGGGTAGCATACCTTGAGTAAGACAGGGAGAAACTACTATCTTAATCAGGGTTGAGGGTACGTGCTCAAGGGCTTGGCAGGCCCCACAAAGCACGAGGTTATAGCCGGTTCAGGTAGCCATGGGCAGGCTTGTAAGCGCACCTACTTGCTTTTTTGACAAAAGTGTGTATATGGGTACTTCTGTAAAGCAGAGTCCGGTATAGGGACCCTTTATAACGGCGCCATACTATTTTGGGGACCTATATTTAAAAAAGACCCTGATTTAGAGAACTGATCCATACTGCTAGCTAGCTCCTCATCAACCTGAACCCTAAACCCTAAACCCTAAACCCTAAGCCCTAAACCCGAGCCCCTAAACCCTAAACCCTAAGCCCTAAACCCTAGCCCCTAAACCCTAAACCCTAAACCCTTAACCCTAAACCCTGCAAGTAGCCGTAGGTCTGAGCCACTCGGCTCAAGCAGCAAATGCCCTAAACCCTAGCCCTAAACCCCTAAATCCTAGACGATCAACCCTGACCCAGAAAGCCCAATACCCCTCAATCAAGGAATGTACCTTAACTCATGATAATATAAAGCCCCCAAATTTATTAATAGTGAAGGAGTATTGTCGTTTTCTGGGCCCTAAATCCCTTACAGATCCCTTTAAAGGAGCCCTTATCGTATCCTTTGAAGCAAGCCTACGCTTAAGGAGTAGAAACCCTAAGCCCCTAAACCCTAAACCCTAAACCCTAAACCCTAAACCCTAAACCCCAAATTGGGCTCTCTGAGGACAGGGGACTCCGTGGAGTCTGGAGCTTTAGGGAGCCCGAGTTGGGGGAATGAGGGCCTTGAACTACGGTTTAGGGTTTAGGGTTTAGGGTTTAGGGTTTAGGGTTTAGGGTTTAGGAAACGACACCTATACCACCGGTTGAGGTTTTTTTTCCGATTGAGGACCTCCAGGATTTCAGGTTTATAAACTTAAGGGTTTAGTATAGGGTTTAGGGTTCATAAATGAACGTAAGGGTTTAGGGTTTAGGGTTTATAAACTTAAAACACCGAACCCTGCTACTTTGTTTCAAGAGAGCTGATAAGTCCTAAACTGGCCCTCAACCTTACATTTAAAGTCTGAAGCCCGAAAAAAACCGGGCCCTGCTACTTTGTTTCAAGAGAGCTGATAGGTCCTAAACTGGCCCTCAACCCTACGTTTAAAGTCTGAAGCGATAAAAAACCCGGGCCCTGCTACTCTGTTGTTTCAGGTTCGGCTCTACTGTATATATATATATACACATTGTAGTAAGGTATGTTATAGTATAGTACAGTATGGTATGTTATGGTATCGTACAATGTGGTATGTTATAGTATAGTACAGTATGGTATGGTATGGTATAGGACAGTATGGTATGGTACGATCTATTTGGCATTAAGCCCTTGCTACAGCCTTCGGTATGGAAGACTCTCCGAAACTCCTTCGCAACTGAAGATGACGACAAAACCCAAAACCCCAAAGGCTGTTGGGGTGGACGAAGTTTAAGGCGCGTAGTGCCTAAAGTGACCTGCTTGCAAGGCAGGAGCCAGGACGCCGCTGGAGAAAGCCAGGATGTCCATGACCTGCTAGAGAGCGGATGCTCCAGGTCTTATAGGGCCTCAAGGGTTTAGGGTTTAGGGTTTAGGGGTTTTCTGAACCCTAAACCCCTGAACCCTAAACCGGACCCTAAACCCTAAATCCGAAGAAGAATCGCTGCTGAACGCTCATGGGCTGATGCTGTGGCTGCTGGAGGCTGTCCCAAGAAGCCGCTACTGCCACAACCTCTCTTCCGAGGAGCAGGGTAAGCCCGTAAACTCCTAAACCCTAAACCCCAAAGCCCTAAACCCCAAAAGCCCTAGCCCTAAACCCTAAACCCCAAAGCCCTAAATAACCCTAAACTCTGGCTGCAGGCAAAGCGGCACGGCAGAAGGCCGCACAGGCACAAGAACGCTTGAGGCTGAAACCTCGGAGTTTGTTGGGGTTTCGGGCTTAGCTCTTCCTTGGGGACCACATGACCCTTATCAGTAGAGGCCCTATACCCTTATACTATGAATCCCTATATGGTATGGGCAGCCTCTTTTAGTACTTAGTACTTCGGGGCTCTACTTAGCGGCTTCTGAAAGCCTAAACGCCTAAACCCTGAAGCCCTAAATCCCAAACCCCGTCCGGGTTCTACTGAGTGACTTAGTGGTTTCTATCATGGTTGCAGGCGATGGCGAAGACTTCGGCCACAGGAAGTATTTCTGAACCCCCCCAAAGTGAATAACACGATGGCCAAAAACCCTCTAAACAGGCGATTAATATAGGGGCCTAAATATTACAACAGGGCTTGGAGGTATGTTATACTATAATTATGCTAAGGAACCACCAAAAACCCTGCTCCATTTTTTAGGGCCCTCTACATTATTCTGCATACTTCTGCGGCCCATTCTACTATAATCATAATAATGAGCCCCCGAAATAATATAGGTAAATCTAAGGCCTAAACCCTAAACCCGTAACCCCCCTTGGTTTGCTTTTGGGGCCCAGGTCCCGGCCGGTTGGACCTGGTTGCAGTGAATCCTCCCGGTGGAGAGTTGTCGGCTCTGAAGCCCGAGAGCTTAAGAGCATACTGTAGGGGCCTTAACGATTAGAACAGGGGCTCCTTTAAAGGGATCCTTAAAGGGTTCTAGCTTAAGAGCTTTAGGGTTTGGGGGTTTTGGGTTTAGGGGCTTTAGGGTTTAGGGTTTAGGGGCTTTGGGGGTTTAGGGTTTAGGGGCTTTTGGGTTTAGGGGCTTAGGGTTTAGGGGCTTTAGGGTTTAGGGGTTTAGGGGTTTAGGGGCTTTAGGGTTTAGGGGTTTAGGGGTTTAGGGGCTTTGGGGTTTCGGGGCTTTAGGGTTTCGGCTTTCGGGTTT